CCAAGAACATTTTAGTGGGTAAAGGTGCCGAAGGTATGACCATTTCCCCAGATAGTGCAATACCAGCTCCTTCTAGCTACGCCTCAGAAGACTTCCAGGAGAAAGCCAAAGGCTCACAAGCTGTTGCCTAGCTCCAGCTACAGGAGGGACAAATGGAAGCAAAACCAAACAGGTACTTACCACTGTAAGGGGCAGGGTGATGCAACAATCTGCTGGTGGCTGCAACATACGCGATTTGGCACAGAAAGTGCCTGCCTCAACCAAATTGAAAGGTATCACACCAAGATCCTCTGAAGAGGGAAATCTACAAAGGCTTTGCAGGCTCCAGGGAGTCACGATGCCAAGACTGCTTCCAACACTGCTCTCACACTGGTATTTGTCTTTCCAGTTGCTCTGGGTTCCTGTCCAAGCCCATCAAGGCTTTCCAACTGTGAATCATACAGCAAACAAGCGTTATTTGACAAACAAAGAAATGGCCTTTAAAAGGAAGGTTTTACACCTGAAGCTAATTTACTAAATTTACTACCTACAGAGTGACACTGATCATGTTCGTTCTATTCCATCTTGCTGACACCTGGCCTTGATGGGATGCTGAGAGCAAGTTTTGTGCCAGCTGCATCCGCCATGCCGGGGAGCTGTGAACAGCTGCACTTCCACCTGCTCAGGTGAAGCTCTGGTGCAGGAAATACTCCACTACCCAGGACAGTTCTCTTTACCTGAACTTGAAAAGTTCACAAGCAACACATTAATGATTTACCTGCTTTCATAAAACACACATTTCTCTTTGCATTGGACTAACTTCTTGGCAGGTGAACAATCAGATGCAAACCTATCACCTCTGCCTTACTCATACCGGTTTTCTCTATCTTGGCCACAGCAGTGACATATGACCCTAAGGACCAACCTGGTTACCCCAAAACAATGTTGGCGGCACGTAGCCCAGAGAGGCTGTTTGCTTCCAGGGCAGAGATGGCACAGAAGGGATGGACAGTCCTCATTCCTGGTAGCGCAGGCTTTGGTGTCACCAAGACTGCACCTGGGGCCCCAGACACACCGCGTGCTGCTGTGCCAGCTCAGTGTACAAATGGCTGCATTTCTAAACTGGGTGGTTGGGCACCTTCTGGGCACGCTGCCCCTGACCACCACATCCTGGAGGTGCTTTCACAAACTCCGCAGCCAGGAGGGCAGCCGTGGGTGCCTGCCTCAGGGGCCCAGCCACTGGGTGGCCGGCCAGCCTTGGCCCATTGTCACCATGGTTTGGCTCTGGCAGCGACAGGCAGTGCAGTGTGCGCTCTGTTAGAGGCACTTCTGTGGGATTCAGTACAAACAAGAACCAGTTTTGCAGTATTCTGAAAGACAACAGTGTGTGATGTCTGCTCACAGACACCTAAGATTCCCCGTGACAGCCTGAGGAAAATGGAGAAATGAGCTTTTCTTACTTTTTTCCATTCCTTTTTGTAGCCAGTGTCCATGCCCAGGCACTGGCAGCGGGGCTGTGGGGCTTTGTGAGGAGAGGCAGGGCTGCCCCTGCCGGACACAGCCGGTTCCAGCCGCCTCAGGGCAGCTGAGGGCGCCGAGCCCCTGAGGCTGCTGAGGGCGTGGGTGTCCTCCCTGTGAGAGCTGTTGAAGAAAGGCAGGAGGAAGGACTGGAAAAGAGAATGTGAAGGGTACCCCCCCTTCCCCTGCAGCTCCTGCGGGGGAGAGGAGGTGGGAGTCAGGAATGAAGGACTGAAGTCAGGTCTCAGGAAAAAAGGGGTGGGGGGAAAGGGGTTTTATTTGTTTTGGTTTTGTTTCTCACCATCCAACTCTCTTCTAACTGGCAACAAGTTCAACTAATTTTCCCCAAGTTGAGTCTGTTTTGCCCATGATGGTAATTGGTGCATGATGTCCCTGTTTTTATCTTTTTTTGGTCTTATTTTCTTCCTGGTGCTGCTGAGGGGGGAGAGAACAAGCAGCTGGGCGGGTGTCCGAGAGCCAGCCAACGCCAACCCACCCCGCTTTTCAGCCTTGCACACAAACCAACCACTCGCTGCTTCAACAGGCTGCTCTGGAGGATGAAAAGCTGGAGGATGAAGAGTTGGAGGAGCTGAGCTTGCTGAGATGCTGGCTTCCCGTCCCCCAAACCTCCAAAACCAGGAGCTTTTAAAAATAACTAGAAAAGGGAAAAATTACAGCTTCTCCTTCAATCAATTCCACAACCACCAATTTTTATCGAGACTAACTAAAACACTCTGAATATACAAAGCACACAAAACTATGTGGATCCGAAGAAACTTCAAGTGACAGGTGACAGTCAAGACAACTCTATCACAGCTAATAAAAGAATTTATTGTAAACATACGTATCTTACACAATTATACAGTATAATACAGATAAGATGAAGGATTTAAACACTCAGCATTACAAATAGGGGCAATATTTGTAAAGAGATCTTTAACTTGTATCAAGACTCTTTAGAAAGCCAGAGAGATATACCGTAACATTTCAACACGCCGTATCATCTGCAGCATTTCACACACCTGAAGAGGTGCATGAAATTCCACAACCTCTAACTCATCTCCAAGCAATTCCCACAGGAACTTCTCACCAACAGATTTTTCTCCCACCGCTTTTCAAAATTCAAAGAACTTGTTGCAAACGTTTCCTACATCTGAAGGACTAAACAAATGTGTTATTTTCTATCTGCTTTTAATATTTTATTTTTCTTCAGCAAACTTTATATATTATTAATATAGCATCTCCTAGGAGAATAACCTGTGGTTGCTCAGAAATGTAGCAATAGATCTCCACTGCAAGAACCCCATCAAGAACAAGGGGCATTTACCTGCCTGCTTCACGGCCAGGTTAAGGACTCGTTCTGAAATTCCAGTCCTCACAGAAAAGCAGGACACAGGAAAAGAAGCCACAATTTGCAAACAGATGCCCAAAGACAAGCTCCTGCATCCTCGACAGCTGCTCTGGGTTTACCAAAATCCCAGAAACTAAGCCCACAAGAGATGTGGGCTGGAAATGCATGTGTCATTGCAGAAGATCATAGCACGACTGAGTTTGCCCAAAAGGCTGTTCCCACACAACCTGCAGGCTGTCATAGCGATAGTGACAGATATCTTGAAAATGCCCTTTTCTAAAAGCTGTGTACAGGGGTGCCTCAAACCAGTATGGACTTCACTACAGCCTACAAAAAAACTGTGGGGCCTGCAGTTCCACAGCTACCTGGATTCCTCCTGACTCTCAGCACTGAACTCAAACATCATCATGACTACTTGACTCCTTCACGCTGACCTCAGGTGAAAAACTAAGCTGTGCACTTCAGTCATGCAGGCAATCCTGCACTCAGCTCACCCTAACAAGCCAGGATTATCTTTTGAATCCACAGCATCTGAAATGCCCTTTCTAGGGGGCATTTAAGTCCTTCTCTGAATGCTCTTTGGATTTCATCCATTGGTCCCATTTCCTAGATTCAAGGGCCAGCTTCTGCCACTCTTACTCAAGCGAACTGTAAGTCCCTGTTAGCTCTGACGAACTGAGAAGGGCTTAGCTGCAGACCCTAGTTTTCTTTAAGGTGGAGAAGACAGGCAGCACCTCATCTAAGGTACACAGTACCTTCTTCAGTTTAAGAACTGCATCAAACCTATGCTACTCTCCTTGGAAGCCTAAAACCACCCTCTAAACTGAACCGTTTTCCACAGTTCCTGCACACTATTGGAGTTACTATCACCTGTCTTCTAGCCGAAAAAAGCACCAAAAGGTAACATTTTTAAGATTTCTGTTCCTACCCTAGGCCAGGAAAGGTAACTGTAGTTTAATGTTTATAAAAGGCTTTGTATTGTCAAAGCACGGCACCAACAAGAGCGAGGCCTCAGCACACCCCTGTGAGGTAGGTATCCTGCTCCCCATGCTCAGAGATGGGGAAACTGAGGCACAGAGTGATTAAATCAAAGGCCATGCAGCAGATCAGAGACCCAGCTGAGATCAGCGCTTTGGAGGTTCTGGCTGTTTGACCCATGTTCCACCCACATGACAGCACTGCCTCACAAAACAAGCACCCTGAAAGCATGACAGTCCAACAGGAGTCCCACCAACTTTACAATGGCTTATTCACACTACTAGCAAGTACCCATGGGTCAGGACAGAGGGGTGGTGGATGTGGGGTGGTCGGATGTTGTCAGCAAAGCCTTCTCCAGCAAGGTCTTGACAGCCAGGCTGCAGACATGTCTCCTACACCAGTGTTCTTGAGACAGATTAAGTGCTGGGGTTAGTAGTAGAGCTTCTTCCTGCAGTCAAGACATGAGAGGAGGTCCCCACAAGCATCAAATCTGAAGTTTTGATCCTATCAGGCCTCTCCGTGTTAAGCCAAAGCGGTGTTGCTCCCACAGCACTTCACAATCCATGCTGATGATTAGCAAATGCCGTCAAAACACCAAGACTTGTACAACACAGCTGGTCACCTGCCCTCCAGCACACTCCAAACCTTCTGGCAGCCTGCGGAGGCACTCGCTGGGCAAGCAAAGGGTTTCAGCCAGTCCAAGCCCACAAACACTGAATACTGTCTTTGCTCCTCTCCTTTCCCATGTGGTCAAGTGGTCAGTCAAATCTTACCAAGCCTGACTTATGGTTTGTTCATCTTGACCGAGCATGTGCCAGTCTACCCTTTCTGAGGTCACTAAGAAAGGTGACATCTGACATCTCCTCTAGAAAGGCAAAGAATTTAGTTAGGTGATACTTAGCTGAATAAGCTAATGATAAGCCTACCCAGCTGCGTTCTCAGTCACATACATCATGCTTAAGCAGGACTGGCAGAATTTGTTGCAGCCATTAGCCTTCTGCTCCCCCAAACCCAACCAACCCACCCATCTACTCAAATGGCCCACCTTTGAAAGCTGCCTTTGACTTTTCTCATATTCAGAGTGCCAAAGCAACTGCTCTACCCGCTGCATGGGGAAATTAACTCATCCATACACTCCATCAAAAAGTACAGTTTCTTAAAAAAAATGTTCAACCTCATCAATTCAGCTGTCTCAGAGGGACCAGGCCTGTGGAGTCTCTCACAGCTAGCAACTTGATGCAAACTGACAATGTTTGTTCAGCCACTGAACATACACTTACCAAGTAAACACTGACATTTAACAACTTGATTTGGAACAGAGCATCATGTTGTTGCTTTAAGGTGCATCTTTAATTGGAGGTAACAATCTAGTAGCCCAATATTATAAGTGTATATAATAGTGTCCTACAGAAATACTGGATTTGTCAACCCAACTTCAGTCATAAATCCACCTTTCCTGTAGCATCTTCTCTGCTCTATTTCATTGCTCCTCGTTTAGTATCTTCATATGTTTGTTTGTGAGGAAGTCAAGAAAGGGAATATTACAGATGGCTTTGTGAATATTCATCACTGTGATCTCTCTTGGAGTCCTGCAGGGAATGCATCAGAGATGCTATTATAGCACATAAAAAGACAAGTGTCCATAAAGCATCAAGCCAATAAATTTACTAACAGGGGGGGAAATCGGTCTAAAAAAGGATAAAAGAGCAGGTATTAGAGCAACAGAGGAAAAGCATTACAATGTCACAACACAAAATAGCCACTCTCATACAACTGTGGGAAACATCTTGGGCACTGGGACAGGAAAATCAAGTGTTGAAGTATTAATTCTTGAACTTCTGTAGCACAGACCATATGTAGATATTTCTCTATATAACATATATACATGTTTAATATCTATTATATAAATATTTATATATTGCAGACAAGCAAATATTTAAACTGAACATTTTTTCTCATAGCACTATTTTTTTTTCTAAATTTCAAGCTGTCCCAAATCATGGTGCTGAACAGAAATCAAGATGTGGGCTAATCGTTACCATAAAAATCACTCAGTATCTGGGCCATAAAGGAATATATCAGTAAAATAAATAAGAGATTATGTAGGTCCTTTTAAGTTCTGTTTGACCATGGGTAAGTTGTCTACGTGGTAACCTTGGATGGACAGGTGCAAGAAGGTTCTTCCAACATGGCTCTGCAGAAACAGGTCATTCGCCTTTGAGCGTGGCAACACTGGAGAACCTTGCCTCAGTTTTTAATGTTGTCCATCCTTTGCTGCTATGAAGCTAAGAGATGACAAACCCACTCCTAAGGCTTGGACCTTCCCAGAATACCGTTCAAAAATTCCCTCACTTGCATGGTCTGAGCTAATCTGACTAAATTCCTCAAGCAGTTCAGCCCCTAGTGCTGGCATATGCGGCTGAAGAGGAAACATGCTGCTGTACCTGTTGTGAGGAGCTGTCTGGTATGCCACAGCCAGTGCTTGCCGTAGGATATCACTCATAAGCTGTTCGGTGGCCTACGACAAAAGACAACACTAGGAGACAGCACTGAGAAGAGGACAGGAACGTGCTATTTGCTCGAGTATCAGTGTAAGAGCAGCTGAAATTCTGGCTCACCTCAATCCTATATTCCCTCAGCAGGGCGGCAGTTCAAGATGCCCAAGTGAGTTTTACTGGCACAGTAATAAGAACTGAGTATATTTATAGAGAGACCTAGAGATGCACAGAGCTCACACTGCAACTGACCAACCTAGTTTCTCTCTGGACCTGAGCAGTATGTGCACAACAGGGTGGATCCAATGTTCCAGAGCCTGTGCTTCAAAGAGCACTTCAGGGCCCTGCCTCTCGCACACCAGAGCTTGTTTTGTATGTGGCAGGTTCCAGATATTCTCCTGGGAGCTGGTATATGCTTGTTAGCTACTCCCTGTCGTCACCAGGCTTATGTCAAGACACTTCACAAAACCTCTCCCAGCCTGGACAGCAAGCAGACAGCAGCTGTATGCCCTACACACTTGGCTTAATCAAGGTTCAATCAGAAGCTAATTAAGGCTCTTGGCTTTCTGTGCTTCTATCAAGACTAGAGCAGAGGTTTCGGGGACGTTCAGTCAGGAAAGCTGGCATAACTCTGCAATTACAACGGAGCAACCTGATGGTTACAATCTGTGTCTACAAAGGGATGCATCTCTATCCGAGTTCAACTATGATAAGTAACGGAGAGCACAGCAGAAGTGTGCGTGCACGTGCACGTGTGACCTGGAATTAATTAGCTTTTGTAAAGCTGATATTCTGATAAGCAGCAGTCTGTAAAAACAACCCCAAAAATCTGTCTTTGGCTTGAAACACAGCAGAGCACTGCTAAAAATAATCTGTGTTAGCCTTCAGTCCAAACCCAAGAACTTCAATTCAAAGCTGTTCAAAGCTTTGGTAAGAATCGGTCTTTCTTTTTCCAAAATTGATTATGATAGATAAATGGTTTCTTGTTCAAGGCAGAATTGCTGCTGTCTGCAGCAATTCAGCAGTCTCCTAGTAGAGACAACCCAGGCAAAAAAGAACTGAACAGCATTTAGGAAAAAATACCTAACCTCTTACAAAATAATCGAGTCTTACAGAACTCTGGCAGATTCCCCCCACACCAGTTCTGAGTAAGAGCCAGAAAAGTAAGGGGTACTTTCAGAGCTACAGAATGAGTCAGTATCTTGCTGGAGGCGAGAATCTGCAAATCACTATTCTGTCTCCAAGCCAACAAATCAGTTAGAAAGCTGGAAACACACACAGAAGTATATGACGCTCTTTGGTCAGCTATATATCACATACGTATGCACAAAGACAGACATCAAACTCTGCATTTCCTGATTTGATAACTGCATATTAATAAGGACATTCAATCATTTTTTTCTACATTACTGGATTATACAGTTACAGAAAAGTTCTTAATGTGAATTAATTTTTTACCTTTAAAATCATATCTTCTATTACTGATGCATAAACATTCTTTTGCACCTCAGCAGGCTGAAAAGAAATCCCTATCTATAAAATATAAAAGAGAAAAAAAAATACATCAAATAACACAACCCATGTTTTACTACAGACGAGATGAGAATGAGATAACAGAAATAATCTGCTACAAAGGGTAGTTAAAAAACATGCAAGCAGACACTGCAGAACTTTCAGGTAGTGCAACCTTGGGCTTCATTTTAAAAAAAATTCTGGAGAAAATGAAGTTTGACCATTAGAACAGCCTGCAGAAATGCCTTTAAAACACAGAGGAAACAAAAGCAGGTTTTAATTTTTATTTCAGAAAGGCCCCACAAAAAACAGGCTGCATTGGCTGTCTCTGGATTGAGAATGGAAGCTCCATTTTAAAACTGTATATATATTCAATCCATTACTCAATCTTCTTTGCACCTAACTATGGCAACTGCAACTACTTCAAACAGTACTCCTGGCACAAAAGTTCCATATCAAAAGTGTTTCATCCCCCAGTCATATTCTCATCATGCCTGTGCCCTTGCCACAAGAGACTAGGTACACTACAGAACCAAAAGTTTTATCCCTTGATGGCAGCATTTGAGGTGGAGACAGAGATGCTCTCTTTCACCCACAACTGCTCCATGTAAATCCCTCTGCTGGTACAATGGCGAGCAATCTTTCCTACAAGCCGAGCCAGTCTTTTCTCTTTCCTACCTGTTGCTGTGAGAGAAGACCCCTCCCTGCTCCCTTTCTTTTACCCTAATTTGAATAGTGGGGAGAAACCCAAGCAGTAGAGAAGTTTGCTGTGGTCTTAGCTTTACCGCAACTTCTCTTCAGGAGCTGCTATTAAACAGCCATGCTCCAAGAAATGCGCCCAGATCTTTTGTGTGACGGACAGGAAGAATTCAGTGCTAGTGCTCCTCTTCCCTCCTTTCCCCTTGCTTCTAGCCTTCCAGGATGATTGTTCTGGTGCTAAGCCCTGCAACACCGCTACTCTGACAGGACCTCCCTCCCAGCTGGCATGCTTCACTTACTCCTGCCAGCACTGGCCAGCTGAGTGTCACGAGTCAGAAGGTCCAATTTTTCCAGGGCATTTATAAAAATTTTCATAAAGGATCCAGAGGCCCATATAGATGAAAGAAAGGCAACTAAATAAATGTAAGACCACAGTTAGCTTAAAAGTAGTTCTTATTAGCTTTATGATTCACTTATTACCTTCTCTGCAGTGTCCCTCACAAACTCTGATGCAGGCAAGGAAGCCAAGTAGAACTTCATCTCCTCTTGTTTCTCCTCCTGTTCTTTCTTAATGTTTATTTTTAATGGCTCGCTAAAGTTGAGAACATCTACTTCCTCTTCGTGTTCTGGTTCTCGTTTCAGAAATTGCTGTAGTTCCTCTAGTTTTCGGCACAGCTCCTCACCACTGCTGTAAGATGAAGGGCATTCTGAAAAAGAAGTGATCAATTAAACACATGATAGGTTATGGAAAGCTGTTTATAAACAGACGCACACTCAAAATAAGGTAAGAAATTAAGGTAATTGGAAGTTATTTTTGTAGTTCCTACCAAACGTAAGGATGAACAGAAACGCAAACAGTCCTTGAGAGCCTTCTAATTATATCTTCATGACACTTATGGTCCACTCCCTCATCTGCCCTACACCAATCAAAGTGGCTGCATTTCAAACAAACCCAGGCTAATGTGAGTCTCCTACACATTCTCACAGAAGCTTTTTGGCAACTGCCAAAGCAGTCTGATGCTCTTCAACTGTCTTGGAGAAGTGGAGTTTTTACTATATAGGCACCATGTGGCACTATATAATCTTTTACCTTGTGGCAAGTATTATCATGCTTTTTAAGACAAATCAGAAGACCGATTTGCAGTGGAATTACAAAAGGGTAACCTCTTCTCCACATACTTGACACGAGTCAGTAAAACCTTCAGTGGAAAGCTACGCAATGAACAGATTCTTTTCTTCAAAGAGCTACATAAATCCGGTTATTTAGATACAAATATTAAAATGTTTCAAGAACTGCAACAGAGGGCCAGACTTAGCAAAGAATAACCAAATCCATACTCTTCTGTGAAATACCTGAAACCCCTGTATGATCAGAACAGAAAGACATTCAGCTTTGGAAGAAGTATTATCTGAAGGTGAAACAAAGGAGTTTAACTGTGAAGAATCGACGAAATTAAAGATGTATGTTTAATACACACTAAAATGGACTGGACATCCCAGAGCTATGCCTAGTACAATAATGTAGCAGCTGTAATAACACAACGTGAAGCTTCACATGGGCCAATTCACCTCATTTTTTGAGGTAAATTAGACCCCACTGAGCTCCATGCTACTGCTGCCAGTTTTGGTGGTTTTTTTGTACCTGAATTCCTTTACCCTGTTTGCACAGTAAGTCTTTTAACAGAGGCTAAGCTTACCCAAGGGCAGAAGTGTCATTTCTCCCTATGGTTAGTTCTTGTGCGCACTTATAAATTATTACACGGTGGGGCTAGAATCATCTCTCCTAAGAGTTATCTACACGAGGCCTCCAAGCGCCCCAAAGCACAATAAACCCCAGAAGAGGCCTCAGAAAACATCAGGACTGATAAGGACAACGGGCAGTCTCACTTGTAGGCTTGCCCATATGATCTCCAACTTTTGTTATTCCAGAGTGAATTAAAAACAAAGTAAGAATCTCCTTCTCCTGAAGAAGCAGCACATGTGTGCGCACACGCAGTCTTGAGCCATCTAATAAAAGGCGTCTCTGGCAGAAAGGAGCGTTCTGTCCCTCTATACTCACCTGGCTCACTGTCTATCTGTGTCAGCACATCTTCAATCGAGTCCTCATCGTTCCGCAAGGTCTCAGGGTCAGGTGGAGTGTAGCCATGGCATCGACACCAGTGCACCACATGCTTTGTTTTCAGAGGTGTAATATTGTGAAACCTGGGGTGCTTTTCTATGATTTCTTGTAGGATCTTTCTCACTGTCATCGCTCGTTGCCACTGTGACAAATCAAAATGGACAGGTCATCACAGTGGCTAAAACATTTAAGGCTGGACTATAGCTCAGAACAATAATCCAGGTTGCAAGGAAAACAAAAGAATGCAATTTTCTCAGAAGTCAGGATGACAATGAAAAACAAATGTGGAAGACGGTCCTAATCCTGATACTAGGCAGCTGTAGGCAAGTCATTTAAACTCTGCTTTGTCATCCAAACAAAACCTCAAGAAGAAGGGGCCCAGACACATTTGTCTTGACTTAAAATGTGTCATCTCCCAAGTAACACCTAAGATGGCATAGTGCAAGAAATCCACTAGAGCAAAATATGCATCTCAAAATTTTGGTTAAGCTCTTTAATCATTTAAGTTGGCAACAGCAGAGGTTCTAATTAATTTTAACATCTTCCCTGTAAAACTCCATAGCGAGATGACAAAATATGAAAAAATAGCAGGAAACATAACAACCACAATACAAAAAGGTCTAGATTAACTGAAGTATTTATCTTTGGTGAACTGACAATCTATTTCAGCACTAGCATTGCTTACGTTAGATCCCTCAATTCTCTTCCTACAGAAAGCAGACACAATCCCATGAAAAGACAGACACAGTATGATGGGCAAAGTTCCCATGACGATAATATGCCCCAGAGGATTGATGAGGATACAGTGCTAAATGACAGCTTGCAAAAATTCCGATTTTTGAAATGCTTCAAAAACACCTTACTTTGAATCAACCAAAAAATGACCTTCAGAGTCCCTTCTGCTTGAGAAAGTCTCTGAACAATAAGCTGGGTCACCACCTGGATACAAATCAGTGCATCTTGCAGTAAGGAATGTTTCAATTTAAAATGCGACAGGCTGCTTCAGAAAACAAATCAGCCAACAACAAGGAAGTTTCCATAATTTAGAAATCCCTCTTGTGTGCCTAACGACTGCTTGCAAAACACAGGAGGAGAGAATTACCTCGGCTGCCCTCCTCTTCCCAATATTCCAGCTGTAATACTGTTCCACTGAACTGGCACAAAAAGAGCTCACGTCTTCACCTAGAAAACATAAAGCCAAAAATCAGTATTAAATTTTTAGTATGTGAAGTTAAGATTAATTCTGGTTTTGATGTTATTTAGAGGAGAGGAAGAGGGAAATGTGTTTCTTGCTTACAGGATCAAGGACTGTAACTCTCTTAGCTCTTGCAAATGCTGTGCTCTCTCCAAGCATAGCAGAAATACATCCAGCAGACACTGTGATTTTGGATGCAAACCCAGCATCCCTCTTGCTCACACACAAGGACAGCTGTGGCTATGGGCTGTTTTAAGCCTTTTCTTCCCCTGAAAACTGTAATGATGTAGACCTGTATGTCTGTCTTACTGGTCAAAGTCTCTCCCTTTGGAAAACTCTTTTTTTTTTTTTTTCCCCCCCCAAAACAAATTACAACATAAAAATGAAACAGCAATGAACAGGTTTCCTGGCAAAAATGTGAGGAGGGGATATGAATCCTACGCAACAGATTTACAAATGCTGCTGCAGGCCAGAGAGCTGTATGTAATGAAAGCTTTACTGGGTCACCCACTCCTCCTTTGCTCACTGTGCTTATCTTGAGAGGGTCTGCCCTGCCCAGTCTCCAGGACTACTTGTTCAAAGTGCCCTAGTTACCAGAGAAACTGATAAATTTTCGGCTATGTACATGAGCAAGAGGTATGCAATTATAGAGTACCATAAGAGATTAAAACGTTTCTCTGCAAAATACCACCTTTTGTTTAAAAAAAAAAAAAGCAAAACCCCCAATAACACACACATTACAATGTCAAGCTATGTTATAATATTTGCAAGCATTTCTGAAACCCTGGCATTAAAACCAAAACAAAACTAAAACCCAAAACCAGACCCATTAAGGGCAAACCAGGGTAAAGCAGATCTACTTGCAGCCATTAGATGAGGAACTGCAATCTGTTTCTAACCAAAAACCAGATGAAAGTGCTGACAACATATTGGGCTTCATTGGAAGAACCTATTTCTAAGTAACTTTAGAATAACCCCTGGAGTAAGCTCTCTAGAAGAATGGCTTCATTTCATTCCACCTTTTAATAATTTTTGCAGCTACAGAGTATGCAAGGCATTATGTTGGTACACTGAAAATAGAAAGCAAAGCCTCTTCATTTCGTGCTTACTTTTTTCAGCAATTAATGGAACCTTCTTCACTATTGCTGTTAAAAGCTGCTGGACATTCTCCAAATATTCTATGCTGCAAGGGATAAAAAGAATCACAATGAAGAATACTGTTGGAAGCAATTAATCAGAAAGGTTTCAAAATTACTGCATGGTTTAAAGTTCTGAGCCCCAAGGCATTATAGCAATGCTAGTGTGAGGATAAAATGCTATGCCCCAATCCAGAGAAGGTATTTCAAACAGCCCTTCCTCTTGACAAAGTGTCCACATCTGAAGCTGCAGTTGTCATGATGAAGAAACTAAAGACACACTTTTCTGGGCAGGTTTGTAAGAAATCCCTGCATCATCTAGCACGCTGCAATGCTACTTTGAGGGATAAGAAGCACCTATTAGTGCGGACTGTCCCAGTAGGAACATGGGATAGTGCAAGGGAAGCTTTGCACCTATAGGAGTTTAGGTAAATTTAACTGTCAAGAACTGTATTTTCCATTAGTTATTTTATAACTAAGATACTTTCCAGTGTGTAGTCACTTAAGATTTATTCCTGTCTCCTACACATACTCTCCATCAAGGTAATGTTGGCAGGAATATGTCAGGCTAACAAAACTTTTCAAAACCTGGAGAGAGGAAAGTCAGCCACTGGAGGAATCAAGAGCAGAGGAAACATCCTACAAGTTAGAAGAAACATGCAGAGAAAATACTGCAAACTGTGTTCTGGTGAAAAAACACTAACAAGTACTTGCAAGAGTACTAATTTTTATTATTTAATTCCAATTCTGAACCAAGACAGCCCTCATACTAAGTAATTACAGAAGTATGTGAGCTTTACAAGTCTAGGGACGCAAGAACAGAGACAGTTCTACTTATTTCAGCTGCCCCTTTTTTGACCTGCATTTCACTGGGCAGTTTGACCTCAGTAAGGACACACAATGGCAATGGGAATTATACAAGCAGTGGATGGTAAAGAGGTTTTAGCAGCTTGAGATTTTAGCAAACCCCAAAACAACTGCAAATCTTCGAATTATTTCTTTCACTTTCATGAGCCCTGTATACCAACACTATCTGAAACAAATGCCAGTCAACAGGATTAGTACTGATACAGCAGTGTACAGGACTGAAGATTTTATAATGTATTTCTAGGTCAAACTTAACACCACTGAACGTATCTCTAGAATCTCCTCCTTTTCACCTTGTATTTTAAAGGTCAGAAATCAGAAACAAACAATTACTTGATAACGTAATTCCCAAGTTCGGAGCTCTCTTCTGGTTTTACTGCTGGTTGGCCTTCTTGGGTACCCACAGAACTGCTGTTTTTTTGAATCAGGCTCCATCTTAACTTCAAAGAAACAGAACACATTTTAAGAGACTAAAAGTACTAGTCAGCTTGATAAATAATGTCTTGTGACACTCCAGTAAGACTAAGGGTCTTACATAACATCACTTCATCTGTTGTTTGCATTCTGTTTGTTAAGCATGAACAAGCATTTAAGTATTTGGCTTTCAATTCTGCTGAAGGAAAGCCACCAGAACATGCATCGTCTCCCCCTCCCCCAAATCTCAACATGCTCACATTTCATCCTTCTTAGAAAATCTGCGTTTGCATTATCCATTGCTGATGTTTTGCATATGACTGCCTGATCTAAATTGAACTGCCCGTAAATGTAGACTGACCCTTCTGTAAAGAAAGAGCTGGACAGAAAACTAATACAAGTTTTATCAAGAAGTGACATTTAAAAGTGAGAACTTTTTTGAAGACATCACTGATTTTTACATCAGTGAACTTTCTTACACCTAGGACAGAACCCCAGTGAGACAGGAACAGGAGAGAGAAGAGACCTTCCCAGCCTAGAATGGCCAAGCAGTCTGGTAGCTTTCTAGAACATCCTCCTTTGTACTTGCCTATGCCCCAGGATTTTTGAGGGGGAAGTCACTGCTAATTTCCTAGTCCCCAGATGCCATTTTTACTTGATTTAAACCCTGCAAACAACGGAAATAAAGGAATCCACAGTGACAGGGCCCATTTTCATAGTGAGACCACTTGCATAAAGCAGCACCAGCTTATTTTTACTACTTATCTTACAGAGAAATTCCTTGTTACCTTTAGTGATGGATGCTGTAGGGGAAGTAGGGACAACCGTACTTGCTGCTGTGACAGCTGTAACAGCTGAAACTTTGCTGGTAGAAAGCGACTGTATCACTGGAGAGGAACAGCAAAAAAAACCCAACCAACAACAACAAAAAAACACAACAAAGAAAGGAAAAAAAAAATTAAACTTCATACACTTTGACAAATAACCACGTTCAGAAGCAACACAGTGTTTGCAGCACAAAGTTTAGGGATTAATTTCCTTGCTACATTTTCTTCTGTCTCTAACTTTGGACCATGTATGCCAATAGTGATCAAGAGCTACCCTGTGCCAAAGGGGATTTTCAAACACCATCTGTCATCCTCCTCTGCCCTTTACCTTTGTTCATAGGCATGAGTATTGTCTGAACACCTCCAGAAGCTGTGTTTACACCGAGCTGTTTAAGCTGGCTGGGAACTGTCAGAACAGCCTGCTGTGGACTAGACTGATTTGAGTGGATTTTTAGCAACCCTGCAAGAAGAACGGAAGACAAAATGTTAAATAAAACACACCATTTTGTTTATCTCCAGCTACTTCTCTCCCTTTCTGCCTGAACCAGGATGGCATGTAAGCTAGCACTGCCACGCTTTTGACAAGCCACAGTCCAGTGAACTGTCACACAAGTTTTTACTGACACGAGTGACTGCTAGAAAACTGGGGTGCTGCAGGACAGTGTGCACAGTATCACATGCTGCACAACGCTCTAGTATTTGTCAATCAAGTTTCCTAAAGACCTAAGTAATCTTAAGCAAAAATTGTTGTAACACAAACCTTTCACCTGAAGCAGGCTCGGCACAGAGTAAAACGCCCTCTTGTCAGAACAAGACTTTGTGCTCAAGGGGCTGACGAGCCAGTGACTGACAGCTCTGTTGTACTAACACAGCCACCCTCACCGAGGTACCAAAGTGCTGCACACTCCTCGGCAATTCAGCTTAGCAGCATCCACCGCAGTCAGCAGAGCACAATCAACCATGTTTTAACTACACAACAAGCCCAAGGCTGCAGCGAGTCTGATGAAGGACATAACCTGAAGCAAGTGCTCCATGTCTTTCTGTAACACGCACTGAATGCATCCATAAGGATGCCTAATCAAGCTAAGAAGCATATTAAAGAGCGGGCTGAATTAAATAATTTATTTTAGTGGAGACTAAAATAATAAGCAGGACACTCGGATATCATCAATGGCAGCACCCAGTGAGTTTGCTGGAAATCTGCACAACTCCAAGCTGTGCCACAGTGCCACAGGTGAGAGGCACTTATCGTCTGTCTGCCAGCTCTCTCCTCCACAGGGATGCCATCCCAAGCCACCACAGCTAGCACTCCAACACTGTGATTTGGGCCTATTTCCATCCTTTCTACTGGAAAACCGGCTACTTTCAATATAAATGACAAGCTAAAGCTAACTTTTATTCAGATTGTGGCAATTTAATAGGCTTCTATTTTAGAACACTGCTAACAGTACACTTCTTAGTTTCATGATGGTGATTTTATACTCACGATTTGTTTCAAGATAAAGTGTCCATTTCCCTCATATTTTATTATCATTGTGTAAAAACATAACTGCCTTCCAAGTACTAGACACGCAAGGTCTGGTAAAGACATCTCTTGGTTTGGAAGATGCATAGCACTGGTCTGAAGCATAACTGAAAGTTAGGCTTTCACCATCAGGGAAGAAGGTTACCTTGTATTACCAATTCATTTTTTAAACATTTTAGTCTATTTAAGACTTACTTAAATAAAAACCCATATTTTTTGAATTAAAAATCTGACTGCTACACATCTTAGCAAAACCTTTTCTTCCACCTTCAGCCTCCTCAAACACACAGCCCCGGGATGGCCAAGCTCTATGGTGACTGGCTCCCTTTGATACACTGACCCCTAGTTCCTCTGGGGATGTTGAATGGTGAACCAAAGGTCTCTCTTGGCACAGAATCAGTCTTCAGCAAGCAATCAAAAACTCACAGCTTTGCAAGCCTCTTCCCAGAGCAGTTTACCACACTTTGAGAAAGTGCATCATTTAAACACGTGCCTCGGGGGATGTCCCAAGTGTGTGATGCACAGCTCTACCAGGATAGCACAGCAAGGAACCCAAACAGCAAGGTAAGAAGGGACATTTTCAACTATCCCTATTATCCTGATGGGTGTGAGACACTGTTTGTTGCAAAACAATGGGAAAATTTGAGATTCTCTTTGCCAAGGTGCATTTAAGAATAGAAATATCCAGAATTTTTACAAGGGTTTTTTTGGCATTTTGTTTTGTTTGGGGTTTTTTTGTTTGTTTTGTGGTGTCTTTTTTCAAACATCAAAATAACTGCTTCTTTTGGGATTCGTGATGAAGTCAGTGCCTCAGGTTCAAAAAGATCTAGATGATACTCTCGTACCTAAATGGCAATCTTAATCTGAAAGGTATTTAGAATGGCGGAATTCCTACAAAAAAAGCCTTGCTGCTTTGTTTGCAAAGAGGAAAATACTTAACTGCTTATTGCAGAATTGTGGCAGTCTTAACAGACTATGTTACTTACTTTTAAGCTCTGGGAAACAGAGTGATGAAAAAATAAGGAGTCTGGGAGACTGTGTATGTAAGAAACAAGAAGAGCTACTTTAAAAAGGCACTGTCAGATGGCCTCAGTCTCACTTTCTCTTTTCTGTATTTGTACTCTGTTTCCACTTTGTAAGAAGTAACTTCAAATGAACAGAACATGCCAACAGGTAAATCGGGAGTCAAAATGAAAATTTCTATTTTTAACCCATAATACTCAAATTAAACCTGCTATATTTGCTCTCCATAATACAAAAGACAGTGGAGGACAATTAAACTAAGGACAAGTCCCCTCTACATAAATGCAATCCATCTTTATTACCTCTTCCTTTATTAATTTGAAACATTCCAGATCCAATCTACCTCACTGTACTTAATAAATTTTGACTTCAAAGCTTTCAATTCCCCCTAATCAACATCTCTCTCCTTTCCAAGTCAAACAGAGCAGATGCAAAGGCTCAGAGCCAAATACTGCTCACGCAGCTTCTCCGACTTCAGTGGAGTTTCACAAACTAATCAAGTCTGTAGTATCACTGACACATTGATAGTTTCAGCATTCAGTGACACACTGTGCTCTTCAACAGACACAATGCATCTTCTAATGAGAACTTGGAATGAAAACTAAAATCCCTCTCCAACACCAACGGGCAACTCGTGCTGTTATTTCTGTTACAGTCAATGCACTGATGTGATAGGATGCCAAATTATTTAGATATCTCTTTGGCTAAGCTAAAATTCATGCTAATAAGGTATGTTCTAGAAAGCATGGCTCTACTTTTACACGTTCACAAATGCAGGTGACTCTACATTCTTCCACTTACAGTGAAGACATCTAATGAACTCACACCTGGATCCCAAGTTTCTATAGGAAAGGCACAAAGGGAGTTTAATACCTGATACTGCAGCTTTTCCAGTCACAGGCGTTGGTGTAGTCATCAGAGAAGCAACACTTACAACAGTGGAAGTAGCCGTCTTATTCACTACTGATGAAGTTGACGGGCTCTGGCTTATACAGATTTGGTGTTGTTGTCCAGATGTCTTGGCTGTAGGAGTTCCAGAAGACGATGAACTGGAACCCGCATTATCTATTTGCTATATAAAAAAGACAGAGAGGGGTAACAAATTCCTTTTCATGTCACAGATGATTCAACAATAAGGACAACAAGGTAATATCTAGAAGTAGCAAAACCAAATGTTTATCTATCAATTATTAAGAAGCAAGAGATTCTCCAGCACATATCCAAAAGCCTATATACAATGACGGTACACATAGAATGGAGACTGTTTCAAGCAGAAAAAGTGAAACTGCGCACACAGGAACTGCTACTGCAACTGCTTTGATAGAGCCAGGTCCCTTAACTTCAGCAAGCAGGGAGGCCTCCAGATGAAAAATTTGACCCAGGAATGTTTCATATTTCCCTGCTGCTCAGCAGTTCAGAGGTATCAGCAAAGAAATATAAAAAAGTTTGGGATAAAGAGGCTGAATGGAAAATTTCTATCTCTGCAGCTTCACTGAGAGCTGTAAAAAAAGTAAGTAGTATTTAACACAAATCACAGATACTACTTTATGCCAAACAGCAAATGACCCAACAGAAAAGCAGTTGTGTGCACCGCACTGGAACACAGGGAAGAGCAGAACCACCAGCAAAGCTGACTGAGAAGAAGAATATCAACAGGGTGAAAAAAGCTGAAGTCCTTTCCTGGGGATTATACTGGCTAGAGCACAAATGCTATATTACAGAATGCAATGTTGTTTCTCACCTGGGCCACCCCGTTTGTGGGAACGGCCATGGCAGGAGCAGCAGCTGTGGTGATAACACCTCCTGATACTCTCAGCACAGTGGTGCCAGGTTTGGAGAGCTGGGACGAGGCAGGCACTGATTTTACAGACCCATCTGATATCTTCACCAATGACGTCTGTCCACTGGGTGCAGTCTTTGAAAAAAGAATTCAGTATAAGGAAAAACATGTCTTTTTTTGATATTTTTTAATGACTTAAAAAAACCCCCACAACAACAACAAAACAAACAAGACAAATGCTTTCTGAATTACTGAAAAATATTTTCGAAAGACTTTTGAAAAAAGCAAATTGTGACAATAACAGCTGGAACAAAATTATCTCCTCAGAAATCAACTTTATCAAACTGTTGACTTTGCAAAAACATGCCTATCCATCTTGAATTTTGGATGATCAATTACAAATACTCTTGGGGAGTTTTAATTTTGTAGGGACTACTTGGTAGTTTTTAAAAGAAGCACCTTTGAGGGACACCAAAACCAAAAATATTTAAGAGCTTTAGCAGGTGACCCATTTCTAAGGTTCAAATATTTAAGCACATTTTTGCACCTGACTGTATTCGCTTCTCTAATTCAATTTCACTAAGAAATCCCAGAGCACATTTACAAACTAGCAACCCAAGCTTAAACGTGACCCACTGTGAGAACAGAAATAAAGCTGGAAAACCGGGGTCCAGTATCTGTGTATGAAAGTAGGCCTTCATGTGCTTTCCTTATCATAGTACAGCCAGCATCATAATTATACAAAGACCAAACAACTACCGAAGGAAAAGCTTTCAAAATGTGTGGCTACAGTTCCTATGCTTTATCTGACAAAATGCCGACTGGCAAGAGAGAAACACACCATTTGCACATTACCTGTGTAAATAGAGCTGTTTTCTGTCCAGTTATCACTTTTAATGCTTGTCCCTGTGTGGAAGACGCTCCAACTCCTACACTGCCCTGAACAACTGAAGCTGGATTCAGCTGCTTCCCAGAACTCTGAGGAGAAGGCTGGCCGACCAGAAAGGTGCCCTGCTCCAGAAATAAGTTAGGGAGGTTAACACTTTGAAACAGTTAAAAGTCAATAGAAATGTAAGGGTGGCAATACAGGATACAAGCCGGTAACTGCAATGAAACAAGATTTCATCTTCCAGAACAAAGCACCGCTAACTACAGTGGATGTTTCTGCACTAGGAGCTGGACAGAGTCTTCTCAGTGCAGAACACCACTTTCTGATGCAAGGGAAGGCGTGAAAAAGCCACAATCAGTTTCCTGTCTTGTCAGAGCCATACACTACAATTTAACACACTTCATGCTCTTCAACTTTACTCTTTGTGACAAACGCCGCTTAGCATGCAAAATCAGAGAGGCTACTGCTAGGCTAGGCAAAAAACCAGAGAAATTGACATATTCTGTCACACACTCACTTCAAACTGTATTTTAGTCCCCCTCAAAGGGTATGTATTCAGGGCTCAGCACACAGAAATGACAGTGACAACTGGAGGTGTGCACTCTAATAACCTACCACCTGAGGCCTTGCCACCCTTCCTGCTTCGCATCAGTACTCAGTTGCTACCCTTCAGAGGCTTCATTCTAACTGCCACACACAGATCCCTTCACATGATCGTTTCCTCATTTTTCTTTCTTACTCAGCTGTTTCACTCCAATAACTCTCCTTTATTCTCCTATCTCTACTGCTTTCCTCCAACTCTTATGTATTCTACTGTGTAAGACAGCTCTTGCAGCATCATCTCTGTCATATCACTTCTCTTGTTTCCGTGACCCTTGCGGCCCTGCCACCAGGTACTTTTATCACACTCTTGTCTCTTCTCTACCCCCTGCTTACCCTGGCCTTACTCAGTGTTGCTTTCTCAGCCTGCAAGGAGCCAGGAGGGTACGACCCTGCAAGGGGGGATGAGGGGAGAGGTGTGCCAATAGCAACAGCAAGTGGTAAAGCAGGGAAGAAATACAAGGGTTGTTAAAGAGGATCTAGATCCCACAGTCCAAGAATGTTTCATGTACTACAGAACCACAGGATATCCACCTAACACCACTGCAGCCTGAAACGTCAATCTGCTTCAACTGAGATGCTTATGCCACTGACCTGGGGTGTCTGCTTCAGGATGTAGGATGTATAGGTGAGGTGCTGCGACAAGTTACTGCTTGTGCTTTGGGTTCCTCCTCCTCCTCCACTATTTGTAGAAGAACCAGACTGGAGACCTGTAACCAGAAGAAAAGTCTTGACCCTTCAGTAACCAGACACTGTCAACTGCTAAAGCATCCCTGTATATACAAGTAATTGAAAACGCTTTCCAAGAGGCTTGCTGCCACACGTTTTGCAGTTGAATAATATTATTACCCAGTACAGCACAGTTCAGATGTGCTGCTGTGCTCTCTTATAGCTCAGCAAATGCCATGGACGAAAGGGGCTGTGGGGGAAATAAGGACTGGTGGGCAAGCAAAGCTCATTCCAGCCTGTTTTGAATTTTCTGTCACAAGAAGTTGCTGTTCAACAGATGAACGGTCTTTTCATCAGTCTTCTGTAGGTTATGTATCTGCAGCAAAAGCCCTAGAAACACTCCAAATCCCACTGGCTTCTTAATTTTACTTTTGTTGGTGTTCCAATGCAATTTTGTTAACAGAGTATTAGCAGTGGTAATTTGCAGTGACACTTTGATATTGGTCTGCCTCCAGATGTACACTGACTTTCTTGCAGCCTTATTAAGAAACAAGGGTAAAAAAAAATACTTATGGTTCTGCCATAAAAATCACAAGTATTTGCTCTTCCCTGATGTCTGTGAGACTTCCTTGCCAAGGTTGGGCTGCCCCAGCTGCCTCTCCAAATCTCAAGTAATGGGGCTCACATCACAAGTTCTACGGCCCAAAAATCCCTTCACCAAGACTATCTACTTTTTGAGTGACACACCATCTATTGCCATGTTGCTGCTATTTACAGCCTCATATATTCAAGTGATTAATACTTCTTCCTCACTGCCAATATCAGAACTGGGAGCAAATAGTTTACACCCAATCCATCTCGCATTCTAACCCCAGCCCCACACAAGCATTCTGGAGAAAGCTCATGACAAAACTCTTCATCCACAGAGTCCAAAACCTGCAGTATTCCTTCCCTACAGCAATAGCACAGTATAAACAAAGCATTGCCCATCAGAACTATTTTAGCAATGTTATCCTCCAGTTATTTCACAGCAAGTTTGATTCACATGCCCGTTAACAACAAAGTGTTTCTTCTGGTCTCAACAGCTTTGGACCAAACCTTGTATCAATACTCAAAATTATTTCTTTCCCTCATTCAAGGCACAGTATCGTGTCCTTTTCAAAGTCAGTTTATGTTTCTAGTTTATCCAGGGTGCCATTATATTACTTAATAGCATTCGAATCCATCTCAGTTCTACATCATAAAAATGCAGTTGTCTCTTCCTACAGATCACAACAAAGAGTTAAAGACAACCTTTTGCTGAATTTTGAGGGATATTACACTACCTGCTTTCAGCACAAAGACATTGAGAGCACTGCACAGAAAGCAGTTTCATCCAAACCAGAAGACACTTGTGAGAACTCGGTCTTAAAAAGCACCACACACTGTGCTGCTGGGAACAAAGAAACCCCATCCTACTACTGACTTCAACAGTACGAGGACGCTTTATAGAAAACATGCCAAATGTATTAATTATACAGTGATTACAT